CCAGAGAATAAGATATTAGTTTAACACGAGACCCAAAAGGTAAATCAGGACCAGATAATGAAAGTCAAGAAATACCTTCAAGGAATGCAAACTTTATACCACAGGTAATTGGGGAGTGGGAGACTATGATCCAACTGTGTTCGGTTTAGATGGTTTGCTTCATATAATGATGCTGGGAACCCAAGTCGCCCAAGCTACTGTCATCATTGCTAAAAATCCAGGCCTTAGAATAGCTATGGTTCCCCTAAATTAATAAGGACTAGACCTATAGCTGGGAAGCTATAGGACTTTAAGATGCTCATGATTTTTTAATTAAGTGGTCATCAGAAAGATTTTAAATGGAAAAGTTGGTTTCTGTCAGGTTAAACTTAGCATGTGCTCCATAGTTCTCTTCATTCTCATTGGAACTTAGGTGAAATTTGCCCAAAGACACAGTTAGTGCAAAATCACCATGATTCCTTCTCACCCCATACCATACTCCCCTCCCCAACGTACTTATCGGATTTTCAACCTGATTCACTCCCTTCCTGATTAACTATTCTATGTCTACGACAAGTCTCTCTAAAAGGGTTTCAGATCATTAGGGATGCTAAAAAATCTTGTGTCTCAAAAGGCTTAACAGAAAAGATTATGAGCACAGCCTGAACATTACCAGAGAGCAGGGCTGCCTTACTTTGGGCTGCCCCAAAGGTCAATGAGCTGTACAGGAAAGTAGAGAGCTTTCCTTTATATGCACAGCACCACAAAGTGGGGCTGTCAGCTTGGCCCCATCCTCAAGCTACCTGCATTAAGTGAAATTCTCACCTTTAATCCATCACTCAACCCAATAGGGGGGTGAGATGATGGTATAAGATATCAGGCAGCATAACAACTAGCTAGCTACAGAACTATCTCATTCCACACGCAATCTATGTAAGTACAAGTTCATTGTTTTTTCAAGACCACCAAATGACATATACCTAGGACAATAAAAACGTACTAACTCTGTAAAGTTGCTCCCTGAAACTAGTTACTTACCTCTGTCTGCCTCTCAACATTCTTATCCATGCCAGGTCTTCGGTCCAGCCTTCCAGGGATCTCAGTCTATAAATCTTAGCTTAGAGAATTTCTGACATTTGACTTAATCCCCTTTGAATCCACTCAAGGAAAACTTCAGAACAATTTCTGCTCTGAGGGTCATTCAAGAGTCAGCTACACCATCAGGGCACCCAGGCAAAGGCTCAGGACATAAAGCAGTAAAGGTATAATGCCAAGGACACTGTTTTCCAAAGGGCATTTGTACCTTCATGTACTCTTTCAGTCATTTTTGTTAAATGCTCATGTTTTCTGTTTTCAGTGCCCCAGAGATAGGAAAGATCTTTAGAAAAATCACCTTTTCCCATATAATATTCCAATTCACATTTTTCTTTCTTCTTTTTTTTTTTTCAAAAGAAAGTAAAGGCCCTTTTCAGCCGGCCTTTTGAGGGTGAGCTCTGAACTGAGGTACTGATCAAGGACTTTCTGCAAGTTTAATGTGAAGATCGTGGCTTCAGAAACCAAGAGAGGCTTAGTGGAACAGATTAATAAAACTTCTTCAACTAGACTTTAAGATTGTCATACAGTCTGACCTTTTACTAAAGTATACTAACTATGAACTACTTATAAAAAATAAAATATTATGGGGAGTGGGGAAGGCCCTGAAAGTCAGTATGTGTTTATAAAATAAATCTTGAGTACTATCACTGACATCTAGCTCTGTAATCAATAATAAATCTAAATACTCTATTCGAATTATCCCTAGTTCTTTAAAGTATGAGTTGACTAAATAAAACTAGCTTCCTAGCCACACGGCTTACTCCATGAGTAAATGTTTTAGCACCCTCTACTGGCCGCTTGTTACATCTAATCCTCTCATAACTTCCCCCACAATGCGCAGCTGCTTCTCAGAGGGCAGATGGTGGCTGCAGCATGTCACCCCATTCCTTCCTCAGAATCACCTGTGAAACAGCTGAGCCAGGAGCCACTGCCACACAAGAAAAGGATGAATCCTGAAGTGCTCTCCTGACACTGCTTGTGCATGAGTTATGTCTTCACTGACAGATTTCACAACTACCCTGGGTCCAGGGTTTGATCTGCATGCACCTCCCGGAACCAACCACAGGCCTCATTTCTACAATTACAGATGCTCCCATTGCCTGAGCCCTGCCGAGACCCTATATCAGCCCCCTGCCTGTCTGCTTCATCTAGCTGCTCTGCGGGGACGCAGGTATCTGAAGAGACCAGCTCACCTATCACCTGGGTTAACTATTTGGGAGGCTTGTTTTCCCCCACAAGCTCACAGATCTGATGCCAATCAATTCTTTGTCCTTAGGTTTATATTAACCAGGTTTTTTGTTGTAGGGGAAGGTACTGGAGGAGAGTTTCTCCTCTTTCATAGCCTAATGACAAAGCAAATTCTAATAATCCACAGTACCTCAGAGAAAGCGAGGCTCCTTCACTAGGATCTAACATAAGCAACCAGGAACCCTTTAAGCTCTCATTATGTGGTCCACTTTCTTTCAGAAAGGAAAAAATTAGAATCAGCATGGTATTCATTATTCAATAACAAAAGGAAAGGATAGGTGAAGAGAAGAGGTGAGACTATAAAATGTGGACAGTTTGCTCATGCCCAAATCTTGCTAGATCAAGCTACTGCTTACTGATTAATAAACACTTATTGGTTTAACATCAGTCATGTACTGAGTACAAAATACTCTTTAGAAGGAGATTTGTAAAGGGACTAGAAAGTAATTCCTTCAATCAAAAAGCTCACAATTTGGCTGAAAACATGTCAAATGAAATAATTTAAAACTGACATAGGGTCATTTCCCTAAGTAAAAATATACACTGAAAATTCCATAAATACACATACATGCAAAGTCCCCTATCTCTCTCTCACACATATATGGAAAAAAAAGATCAAAATATTCATAACAGTTATCTCTCTGGTAGAATTTCAAATGATCTGGATTTTTTTTCTTATTTATCACTACTGTTTGAATTTCCTACAAGGAGAAGGTAGTATCTTAACAAAGAAAATGTAAATAAATTAACAATCAATTTATCAAGGGTTTGAGCAGAGGAACCTGCTTATGAATATAATACTGTACATACATCAACAAATGGTGCTGGGATAATTGGCAAGCCACATGCAGAAGAATGAGGCTGGATCCTCATCCCTCATCTTATACAAAAATCAACTCAAAGATGGATCAAAGACTTAAATCTAAGACCTGAAACCATAAAAATTCTAGAACATAACATCGGAAAAACTCTTCTAGACACTGACTTGGGTAAAGAGTTCATGAACAAGACCCCAAAAGCAAATGTAACAAAAACCAAGATAAATACATGGCACTTAGTTTAACTAAAAAGCTTCTGCACCATAAAAGAAATAGTCAGAGTAAACATACAACCCATGATGGGAGAAAATTTTCACAAACTATGTATCTGACAAATCACTAATATCCCGAATCTAAAAGGAACTCAAACAAATCAGCAATAAAAAAAATAAATAATCCCATCAAAAAGTGGACAAAGGACATGAATAGACAATTCTGAAAAGAAGATATACAAATGGCCAACAAACATATGAAAAAAATGCTCAACATCACTAATGATCATGGAAATGCAAATCAAAACTACAAGATACCACCTTACTCCTGCAAAAATGGCCATAATTTAAAAATCAAAAAATAACAGATGTTGGCATGGATATAGTGAAAAGGGAACACTTTTACACTGCTGGTGGGAATGTAAACTAGTTCAACCACTGTGGAAAGCAGCATGGAGTTTCCTTAAAGAACTAAAGTAGAACTACCATTTGATTCAGCAGTCTCACTACTGGGTATCTACCCAAAGGAAAAGAAGTCATTATATAGAAAAGACACTTGCATACTCATGTTTATAGCAGCACAATTCGCAGTTGCAAAAATATGAAACTAGCCTAAATGCCCATCAACCAACGAGTAGATAAACATACATATACATATACACACACACCATGGAATAGCACTCAGCCATAAAAAGGAACAAAATAATGGCATTCACAGCAACTTGGATGGAGGTGGAGACCATTATTCTAAGTGAAGTAACTCAGGAATTAAAAACTAAATACTGTTAAAAGTGGAAGCTAAGTTATGAGGACACAAAGACATAAGAATGATATAATGGGCTTTGGGGACTCAGGGGTTAAGAGTGGGAGGGGGTTGAGGGATAAAAGACTAAACATTGTGTACAGTGTACACCGCTTAGGTGACGGGTGCACCAAAATCTCAGAAATCACCACTAAAGAACTTTTCCATGCAACCAAACACCACTTGCTCCCCAAAAGCTATTGAAGTTTTTTAAGTTGCAGAGAAAATAATAGTAATAATAATCTTTTCTAAATAAATAGTGTTTTATTCTCCGGAAAAAAAAATTGTACATACAGTATAATCTATGAACTTACACAAAAACTCACAAAAGGGCTAGCTAATAATCCACAGTACCTCAGAGAAAGCGAGGCTAATCACAGCACTTTGGAAGACCAAGGCAAGCGGATCACCTGAGGTCAAGAGCTCGAGACCAGCCTGGCCAACACGGCAAAACCCCAACTCTACTAAAAACACAAAAATTAACCAGAGATGGTGGTGGATGCCTGTAATCCCAGCTACTTGGGAGGCTGAGGTAAGAGAATCGCTTGAACCCAGGAGACGGAGGTTGCAGTGAGCCGAGACCATGCCACTGCACTCCAGCCTGGGCAATAAGAATGAGACTCCATTTCAAAAAAAAAAAAAAAATTTTTTCACAGAAAAAATACTTGAAGAAAATTATTAATGACTATGAATTTTGTCATATGTTTTCTCATTTTCTAGTACTTTTATAATAGAAAGTACTAGATCCTTCCTTAAAGAAATTCAAATGTTAAGCAATCATTCACTCTTGCTATTAAAAAAAAAAGTAAAAGTGCTTTTAAAATAACCATTTACTTAATGGCATACCTGGAATAAGTGCTGTGCTGATAAGGATGTCTACCTCCTTGCATTGTTGAGCAAAGAGTTTCATTTCAGCTTCAATGAACTCTTTGGACATCTCTTTTGCATATCCTCCTTGTCCCTCACCAGATTCCTTCAAGTCCACCTCCAAGGGCTCAGCACCAAGAGACTTGAACTGTTCCAAAGCTGCAGCTCTAGGGTGATTGTTAAAGTGGAAACAGTAGTTATTTCAGGCCCTAATAAAGAAGTCAAGATCATCATTTACATCTACCTTTTTAAGAACAACAAACTATATATTCAAAAATCAACAGTCCCTTTGATGTCATACTTGTTTCAAATATTTTTCTAAAGGCAAGTAACATATTTAAGAGAATATTCTTTTCTGAAAGAAAAAAAACTACTGAGAATTCCAACTTCTACTTAGTTAAGTTGCAAAAGCAATTACACAATTGCCAACTCCAGTAATCAATTGTGTTCCTTATGACCCCGGTGTGGATGATGATGTGATATCTGATATATATCAGGATTTGATATCATTCAAATCATTCAAGATGAGGTTTTTTCACTTGAAAATATTCTGAATTTGTTCTTATTAGAGACTTTTCCCACAAAAATAACTCTTACATGTAAAATTATTCTAATAAAGTGACTTTTTTGCCCCCCACCCTGTCCTCATTAAATTGTATTTGCAAAAAATAACCTATAAATAGTAGTAAAGGGTAAAATGTGAAAAGCCAACACATTTAAATTTTATAAAAATAAATTTAGTTTTAAATAAATAAATAAATGCTACCCAAGTACTGTCTCCTGGTTGGAAAACCAGAGCCAACAAAGACCTCAGCTCTGTGGTGGACATGCGTGTAACTCGTCAATATCCATTCCACTGTGGTAAATCCCAAACCCACCTAATGACGATAATCTATCAGGGTACTTGTTAAAAGTTCAAATTCCCAGGTCCCTTCCCAGACCCACTGAATTATAATCTCCAGCAAGCAGGCCAGACGCTATATTATTTTTAGCAAGAGCTGCAGTTCATCCTTGTCATCGCGGAAGTTTGGGAAACCATGATCTGAGCCAATAAATCCCTAGCAACCATCATGTTCAAGAGTATGCATAAAGGGTAGGACATACAGTCCACGGTTGAGCAAGAGGTTCTCCCTCTGCTGGCTTGAGCAAGGAATCTGGTAGCCCAGATTTTCCCCTGGAGGTAAAGTTGCAACCACAAGTGGAATCAGCCTTAGGAGGAAGCCAAAGCCAAGGACAGCAGAGAGGAGTGACAGAAACCGGTCCTTGATAGCACCAAGGAGCATCTCACTCCAATGTGAAAAGGAAGTCATTCCCCTGGATTCTCAGTTAGAAGAAATAATACATTTTCTTATGTTTTAAGCCAATATGTGTGTATGTACACACACATATATATACACATATATATATATGCACACATATATATGTATATAAAATAATCCAAATTTTGTTCAAAAGTCATATATATATATATATATATAAAAAACTCTATCAGAAATTATACCAAAATATCACTAGCAATTATATCTGGCTGATAGAATTATAAAAAGTATTTTCACATTCATCCTATGTTTCTCTGTATTTTTCAATAATGAATTCACATCATTAGAAATATGTTATTTTTAAATCTTTGTTGTTATACCTTTGCCCATAAAATAATCTCATCATTCAAAAATATTATAACATATTAGCATTTAAAATGTGTATGTCTTTTGACTCCAATATTTCCTTAGAATTTATCTAAGGAATTTATCTGGGGAATTGGTTCCATGACCCCACTCAGATATCAAAATCCACGGATGATCAAGCCCCTTATAAAAGACAGTGTAGTATTTGCACATAGCCTACATACATCTTCCCATAGCCTACATACATCTTCCCAAATAGCTTAAATCGTCTCTAGATTATTTATAATGCCTAATAAATGTAAATGTTATATAAATAGTTGTTATATCATATTATTTAGAGAATAATGACAAGAAAAATGAAATTGGTACTAGCTCAGTACAAACACAAACATGTTTTCCGAATATTTTTGATATGGTTGAACCCACAGATAATAGAACATGGATACAGGGCTTACTGTATGTACATGTAAGTGTATATTGACCTACAGAGTACTGTGTAAATATAGCAAAAAATGTCCATTTATAGAGGCCTAGTTAAATAAATTGCTGTACTTCTATACAATGGAATCTTCTGCAGCCATTAAAAACATTAATATGTAAGGAAAGATCTTCATGATCTACTGTTAATTGAAAAAAGGTAAATGGAACAGTAAAATTACATTTTTAATTAATGTGTAGAAGAGGGAACACATGAAAAAAATTACCACTAGGCAGTGAGACTTTAGGGTATTTTATTTTCTGTTCTTGTGCTTTTTCATATTTTTCTGAATTGGAAGAATAATCATGTACTATTTTATGACAGGAAAGAAAGCAAGGTTTTTATATATTTAAACTTTGTGATAAAGGCATTAGGCAAGATAATCACTATTGCTAAGAGGAGTATCTTCTAGTTATTGTTTGAAAGAATTCAAAAGTCAGACCATTTAAATACCATTGGGCAATGAGCTGTCTGTAAGTTTTTAGGATATTTAACTGAAAATACATACCACTCAATCTTCCAACAAGAATTTAAAATCAAGTATGCTTTGGATTTCATATTTATAATATGAAACCAACCCCATCTCAAAATAGTGACTAGAGTAACTAATGAGCTATAATTCTTAGAAAAGTATTCAATCAGTTCAGTCACATCTTTCTTCATTGTATACTTGAGATACCTGTATAACGAACTTAATAAATTATAAAGAAAGATTGAGTTTTTGTATTTTTCTAATATAAGCAACAGCCATATTCTAGCTGTTGATTCTGTACACAATCTAAAAAATGACATCAATATACTAAATTCTCAGTAGTTCACCCACCACCAAGTTTCAAATCATCTTTAGGTCAAATACATACATTTCTATTTTAATACTACTGTCCACTCCAGTGAAAACTTAACCTGCTTTCTACTGGCTTGGAGGTCTTGAGAAAACTTCACATCAACAAACAGTAAAAATAAAATGACAGGATCAATGGCATGTTTAACTCTAGCTATGCTTGGTTTGTGCCCTGGTTACTTTGGAAATGACTTATTTTCTCATTTCAGCAGGACAGCTTTTTATCAGTATATCACTTTAACTCTAGATAAAGACTATTAACCATATTCTATGGAACATTGTTTACTCTGAAAAGTCACATTCTTCCAACTTTGAATGGTTGCTTTCTTTTCTTTTTTGATCATTCTATATTCAGGATTAACAGTAGTATTATTCCTCCAGTACCCCCAGCTGATAATAAATAACTACATTTTTCAACCTCAAAAATTATTAAAACACATATTAACAACACTCAACTGACATTTAATAAAATCCAGTGTCTAGTGTCTTCTGAAATGAAGAATTTTAATCAAACTTCTCTTTAAAAACAATCTAGGAAAATGTGTATATGTCTGCGTTAAAGAAATAGAGTATATTTCTTTATAAATCAAGTACTTTCACCCAGGGGCTCAAAAATTATCAGAAAAATATATGCAGCTCTATCTTAACATAAAACGCAGGAAGCATAAATAATGCAGTAATAATAATTCACATGGTGCTAGTCAAGTGAAGTGCCAATCAGCTTTATTTGCTTCTATCCATTCAAGGTAGGGCATGCCCCCACTCAGCCTGCTGTTTTACTCATTCTTCAGATTCACAAACATCTTTGTTCATGCCCTAACTAGTGCCTAAAAGCATTCTGAACAGAAATAGGTAAAGCAACATGTTAGAAACTCAGGATAGAAAGAATTCTGGTCCCACTGTCAATCCACCAAAGAAAATAGAGTTGTGAGTTGTTAATTTAAGTAATACATTTTCACTTTGCATTAACTTTTAAAAAGTGGAAACATTTTTAAATGGAAAGAGCTTATAGACCAGTTGCAACGTGCTACTTCAGTTTATAAGTTTTAAGGAAAGTGTAACATGCCCCTGAAACAAAATGTTTTTACCTTAACATCAATCACTAGTAAAGCACTCACCTTGTGTCAAACCCTCGAACGATTGCACCCATCGACTTTGCTGCGCCTGCAGAAGCAAGCCCAGCAACACCACCACCAACTATCAGAATCTAGAAAAGAAGATAGACCCAGTTATGTATTAAGGCTCATTATCAACTAATAATGAAAAATCATCGGCTAACAATTATTGGTGCCTAGTATAAGTTTAGCATCAATAAATGGCGGTGCTGATGGTGATGATGATGATCAGCCCTTAGTAACTGTATGGAGCACATAGACTGTTCTTTAACTGAACCACCACTGAACTTAAAATTTTATGAAAGAAACAACTGCTAGCAAAGGCCAACAACAATTCACTAAAAATAGCCTAATACTCAGCATATCCATGTAAAAGCGACCTAAGCATGATCAGCATTACATATGTTGAAGATTAACAGATTCTTTTCCACTGTCTAAAAGTTCCTTCTACTAAAAGTCCCAGTGTGGCAATCTAACTACCTTTACCCTACCAAATTATAAGGTTTTTCTTTGTTCATCAAACATCAAAATACATTTCAAAGATGGGTACAACATTGGTGAAACATCTACCCCAACCTCTATTTTGAGCCAAAATGCTTCTGAAAGGAACAGCTGATGAGCAACCACAATTCTGAACCATTTTGAGCAACTCTCCCTAAGTCTGAAGCAATGAAACTAATGTCCCTAATCATGAAGGATCAGCAACAAGAGAACCAAAGAATTCCTCAGAAACAAGAGTCTCCCCCGCCTTCTAAGAAACAAAGTAAGAACAATATTGTCTCCAGTCTGGAATGGGCCTTCCAGAGTAAAGTCCTGTTATATATCCCATAAACAGTCAATTGAAAGCAACACTTTGTTCCTGTAGAAAAAATGCCACCCACAGAATCAGTGAAGCTTATAAATTGACACCCACCCATCATGCCCACATGTCCTTCTGCCTTTACAAAGACAAGGCTAGTCAGACTGTGCGCCAGTGAGCTCTGGGCAGTGTCTCAAAGGTCACATGAATTGATCTTGATAATGATGCTGTGTTTGGGGACAAGGGGCAGTCTATAGGAAAGGGGGCAAAGAGTGACCAGAGGGAATAAGCAGGCTCTAGGCTCCAAAGCACCAACCTCTTCCACACAGGAGCTCCATCACCACTGAAAGAAAGAGAGAAAGAGAAAAAGAGAGAAGAGAGAAAGAGAGAGAGAGAAAGACAGGAGAGAGAGAAAGAGAAAGAAAGAAAGAGAAAGAGAGAAAGCAAGAAAGCGAGAAAGCAAGAAAGAAAGAGTAAATAAAAATAAGTAAAAGTCACATGACTTGGCCAAGTTATCCTGAATCAAGACATAACAACAACAACAACAACAAAAAAAAAAAACCATACTTTAAAAAACAGAATCACACAAAAAGAGCAGATCTTACTATAGAAATTTACTTTTTCTTTCTAAAGCATGGAGTAAAGAAAAAGACACAGAAAATAAGAGTCAGAAAGCTTAGGTCAAAATCCTAACTCTGTTACTAACTTGTTCTGGGTGATCTTGGGCAAGCTGCTTATCATCTGCAATACAGCAATCAAAGTGCCTTCTCAGACTGTTGTTACATTAAACAATGGAATCTAACCGAAGCACTTACTGCTAACTGTTACACTGTAGGCATATGCTCAAGAAATAGTACGGGGCCAGGCAGGTGGCTCAGGCCTGTGATCCGAGCGCTTTGGGAGGCCGAGACAGGAGGATCCCTTGAGCTTTGGAGTTCAAGACCAGCCTGAGCAACATAGTGAGATCCTGTCTCTATTAAAAAACAAGAAATAAAAACCTAAAAAGAAAAAAAAAGAAATAGTATGGGAAAGGGCAGGAGAAAGGAAATAACTTTGGAACACTGTTTGTGTTCACTCATATAACTTGCTCCTCCTCTGGCCTTCCCCATCTGAGTAAAGGCAGTAACTATGCACAATAGTTTAAGCCAAAATGGGGAATTTGTCAACTTCTCCCTTTGCACATATTTCCATTTCCAATTCATCAACAAGTACTACTGGTTTTAACTCCCAAAGATCTCCCCTAATCCAGATAAAATCCTTCACCTTTCACTACATTTCTGGTGCTGTCATCTTCCCAGGTACAACCAATTGCTGACAGATCTTGCCTTCACCCTACTATCCATTGCCCCACAGAACAGCCACATGATTTTTTTTAAATACTAAACCAAACATTTCCCTCATCTGCAGGAGAACCCAAAGTCTATAACATGACCTAGAAGAGAGGCCCCACATGATCCAGCCTAGACCTTCCTTTCCAACATCATCTCAGATCACTCATCTTGTTCACCACACTCCAAGACCAACGGTCTTCTTTATTTTTCCAGAACCTAAATACTGGAATCCTAAATGCTTGGCATCCTTAAACTCTTGTTTCCTTCTTCCATGCTTCAAATCTCAGCTCAAAGGTCAGACGAAGCTTCCCCATACCTCTACTAAAGTGACCTGTGCCCATTACTGTCATATCATACGGTTCATTTTTTCCTGTGTGAAATTATCTCATGGCCAGGTGCAGTGGCTCATGCCTGTAATCCCAAAATTTTGGGAGGCCAAGACAGGAAGATTGTTTGAGCTCAGGAGTTCCAGATCAGCCTGGAGTGAAAACTCCACGCAGAGTGAGAACCTGCCTCCAAAAAAAAACCAAGTCAAAAAAAAAATAATAATAAAATAAAATTCCCTCAGGTATTTATTTGATCTTTTGTCTCCTCACTGTGACCCCCACTGGAGTGTAAGTTTTGTGCAGCAAGGATTTTGTCTTGTTCACGCCATATCCTCAGCTCCTAGAACAATGCCTCACATATCATTGTCTTGGGCCACATATAAAATACACTAGCTAACACCAACAATTGCTGATGAGCCAAAAAAATAAAATGGCAACAAAAATCACATAATGTTTTAAGAAAGTTTACAAATTTGTTTTGGGCCGCACTCAAAACCATCCTGGGCCACGTGTGGCCCACAGGCTGTGGCTTGAACAAACTTGTTTTAGCAGGTAAGAACCCTTCATGTTTAAAGGAAATCCAAATAAAAGACTGTATTATGCAATCCACCTTAATAAGCTGTACCAGTGCCTTCAATTTCAGAAAATTATTTCTGTCATGTAGCCAAAGTCCCTTAAGCTGCAATTTAAATTTTCAGTAAAGATAGTCACTTTTCCACCTTTTAAAGGCTGATTCTCTTTTCTTTAAGCGTCTTGTCTTTTGTTTCACTTTTTAATATCTTTTATTCACAGCTTTTCTCTCAACTTCCACATATATCTAGAAAGATTATAACCAAAGTAGACTTGCGCATCAAAGCATTCAGTCAATTTAAGAACAGCATCGAACTTCTGGCCACTATGCGTGCCAGATATTTTTTTATGATCCTGAGAAAGAAGTCAAAATTTAATCATTGCACATCTCACATCTGCGTTGTTTGCTCACACTTTCTTGCTAAGTATTCTGGCCTCCACTTAAACCGCATTTTTTTCACCTGGCCTGTTTTTCAAAACAATATAATTTCTCAAAGCTGCTATCAGCTTTTGTTTTAATTGTTTTCCAGATTTATTTTGTGTGAGAACTCTGAGCTTATATAACAAAGTACTTAAAAGCAGGAAGCACCAGTAAACCTGTACCCTACAGGTAGGTAAATGACCACATTTAAAGTCAAGTTTCCTGTACCTAATGCTATGGTTTGGATGTGCTTTGTTCAAGTGAAAACTCATGTTGACATTTGATCCCAAATGTGGCAATATTAGGAGGTGGGACCTAGTGGGAGGTGTTTGGGTCATGGGAGTGGATCTCTCATGAACAGATTAATGCCCTCCCTGGGAGTAGGGGGCAGAGTTCTCATTCTGTGGGTTGATAGAAGGGCCAAGTTCCCTCGGTTTCTCTCTCTTGATTCCTCTCTCACCATGTGATCTTTTCTGCACATGGCTGCTCCCTTTACACTGTCCACCATGAGTTGAAGCAGCCTTGAGGCCCTCACCAGATGCAGCTGCCAAATCTTGAACTTTCCAGCTACCAGAATTATGAGCCAAATAAACCTCTTTTTTTAAATAAATTACCCAGTCTCAGGTATTCTCTTTTAGTAACACAAAATGGACTAAGACACCTAGCCTCAGGATTTCCATTGTTACTGAGTGTACATAGGATTGAAGGATCACAGTATGACCTCCTATTCTTTCAGCAAGCCATTGTCACCTCTCATCGTTAACTGCTCCTTTCTGCTCTCAGTGTGGATTAAAGAAACTGGCACCCTTTCTCTCTGCCAAATACCCTGATTACACCACCTCCCATTTCCTGTCTTCTTGATCCAAAAATTGACAAGAAGTAAAGAAACCAAAAATACCTTGTATATGTGCCAAAATGTTGCAAAAAGTGAGAAACCCAGAATCTTCAGAATAGTATCTTGAAGATTTGTTTTAAAAAATTAATAATATATAGGCTACAGAGGACAAGTTATCCAAAATTCTTTTAAAAATTCAAATTAGTAAGTTAAAAAACAGAAAAGACTAGAACTTTCAGAAAGTCAAAGTTCATTTTTTTCTAGCAATCTTAAATGTTAAGCTTTGAGGCTTCATGAAATATTTATACACACCAAAAAGTCATCAATGTGAGGTTAACATATAAAAATTTTTAAATAACTATATTTTGAGACTATACATCCCCTTTCCTTTAATCAATGCATATTATAAAGAAACATTAAAAGTTGTACCTACCTTAGCTGGAGGAACTTTTCCAGCAGCTGTGATTTGACCAGTAAAAAAACGTCCAAAATGATTTGCTGCTAGGACAACAGCCTTATAACTTTAAAAATAAATAAATAAATAAATAAATAAATAAATAAACAATTCCATAAAAGGAGAGATCTCAGACTCATATATCATCATAAGTAATCAATGAAGTTTTGTCAAAGAATAATCACTAATATTTATATAGTATGTACTATATGTCAAAAACAGTTCTAAGTGTTGTATATATACTTGCTCCTTTAATTTTCTCAACAAGCCTATGGATAGGTACAATTAGTATCTTCATCCCATAGGTGAGAAAACTGAGATACAGATTGAGAGACTTGCCCAAGGTCACTCAGCTAGGAAATTGTAGAGCCAGAAGTCTAACATAGGTAGCCTGCCTACAGAAGCACTCTCTTATCCATTATGCACCCACCCTCTTCATAACAAGTACTGTAGAACATAACAGAAAATGTAATGAATGAAAGATAGGAAAATACTAACAATGGTTTTCTTTGGGTGCTAGGACTATACATCCTTCACACATACTTTACTATATTGTCCAAATCTTCTTTGATGACTAGGTAGTGCTTAGGTAAAGGGGGGAAAATCTTTAAAATAAAAAAATTAGGTCATCCATAGGCTTGTACATAATAAGATTCCAACCTCGGAGAACAGAAGAAACACTTCCCTTGATCTCTAATGTTTCAAAGTATGGGATTTTCAGACATACTGACTGATTACCTTTGTGATCTTGGGCAAATTTTTAAAATTTTCTAAACCTTGGTTTCCTCATCTATAAAGCGAGGACAAAAAGCATCTATCTTTTAGGGTCGTGAGGGCTAAATGAGATAATGCAGGTGAAACACTTGGCATAAAGCCTGTCACATAGAAAATGCTCAGTGAATATTAAGTGTTTTAGCCAAAGAAACAAACTATTTAATAAATCAAATAATTTTCATACTATTTTATATGTAAAAGGCACTTTTGCATTCTTACTTGGTAATATATACACTGGCTCAATATTATAAAGCAACTATTAAAACTCCCCTGCTAGGTGACAAGAAAATCTTCTCCCCGATCATATTTTTACATAATAATATTTGATATAATAAGTGATGCAAAAACATATAAAGTCACTATTAACTTAATCATACTGGAGCAAAAAATAATACTTTAGAGATTATATTATCTGTTGCTCTTCTAAATTCAAGTGACAGCATTTTTTAATGGGCAAATATGACAAAGATTCAAAGGCCACTGTAAGAAATTAATTGTAGAATTAATGCTCTAAAAGATTCAGTTGCTATTCTGAAAAATAAATCACAAAAGGAGGTTGATTACACAGGAAATGTACAAGAAAACATTTATAGTGAAAAAAGTTAATAAATTGGACATTTTCTTCATGACAGCAAAAAAGTTCAGAATGAACAGTAATGAAGTGGAAGCAGCACATCTTCACTGTAATATGGCTGTGTGTATGAATGAGACAGATAATGATTTATCATACATTGTATGGATATGTATACTAGATGATTCCTTTTACATTATGCTCTCTGCACATATCAGCTCAGGACATAAAACAGTGATTCCTCAAATTGTGATCCCTGAGTCCCTGCAGGTTTAAACTTCAGACAAAGCTGGGGCCATAGTGGATGAGATGGAGAGTAGGAATGTTTCTACACAATCCTGCCATACTCAGTGTACCCAAAACTACTCAGCTCTTATTGGATTTATTTGTATTGTCTCATAATATTTCATTTGCTCAAAAGATTCAACAGCTAAAACCACTTGATATAGAGTGACTGGTTTTGATATTCTTTCACATATGTGCATTTCAGAATCAACAGCACCCTTAAAACTTAACATTATACATTTTCTAGATAAAATTTTAAGTCACATTAGGCTAAATAAATTTAAAAGCGTGCAGCTAAAAACACAAAGTAGAATCTATGACATATTTCCTATGCTAAAATATAAAACCTAAGAAAACTTTTGCTTATGTGTCAGGCTATAAAAGGCTTTATTCATGTTAGTCATGTTAGTGTCTTTTATGCACTGTTTTTTTAAAAAGATGTTCTTTGTGCCTCATTAATATTAGCAAATTGTCAACTACTAATAGTTTTCATGCTTAAAATCTTATTTAATTAGTTTCTTCGAGAAGTTGCTTCATAAGCATTATCCCATTTCCAGATTGTTCCCACCCTTTAAGGCAAAGTCAGCAGTACACTGCGTTCATGCAGCTATTCCTGTCCCTCACCCATGGCAGGCATGATTACTCAATCATAGCCACATTCCTCCAAGCAGAATGGGCCTTAGAATCCTTCTCAACATAGTACTCCAGGCAATCAACAGAGAATGTATTGGTGCTATTGGGCAAAGGAAGCGTATTACCATCTTGACCTTAAAGGTAGAAGACATAGCCCTCAGTTATCAATATGGGTTTTGACATCAGATGAAACTTCCTCTAGTCCAGACCTTTTTCCTATTCTTTAAATATTTTATAAATTTACCTAAGCAAAACCTAATTAAGATGGCAAATCCACTAATATATGCATATTAATTTAACCACATGAAATTGTCACTATTCAACCATTTTTGACCCATAAAAACAGTAACTTCAACCTAATATATACATGTATACACACACATATGAAATATAATGTGTTCCTCATACAAATAATCTGACAGCTATTTGCTTTGGTGGATGGAAATATTACTACTCTTCTACTCACTAAGATTAAAAAGGAATATATAATAGAGTTCATTTCCTATCTAATTACTGTAAAACAGGAAAAAGAGTCAAAAATAATTTAAATGTACTCTCAAAAGGCTGCAATCTACAACAATAATTACAAGTAAAATCATCGTAAAAGAGAAGAGCTACAGTGTGAAGGTTTCTGTAGCACCATTGTGCTTTTGCTCATTTGAAATGGAAAAGAACCTACCCTGCAATGTTGGCCATGGAGCTTAGTGCATCATATCCCTGAGCAATTGTAACTCTTGGAACCTGGTCCATTGCCAGAACTGTAGTTTTTCTTTGGGAAAGTTTATTTAGCAACTCTGGATTTTGGGCTGGGTAAATAAAACTAATCAGTGTTCCCGATGTCTTTAAAAGGTCAGCTTCATGAACACCTAATGTTGGATTAACCATAGGGGCTCGCACCTGGGAAAAAAATCAAGTCACAGATTAAAAATATAAATACCTTAATCATATTTTTAACTAAACAGGAAAACTTAGATAATATGCTATGACTTAAATAATACTCCAGAAATAAATCTGCCATCAATAAATTTCTGACTAAAAAAGCACACACAGACATATACCATCTATCCCCTCCCTAATGACCTGTGGACTGGTCTGAGTAAAGGGTACACACACCTGGGAAATACAAAATACTGAGACTGGTTTGACAATTAACTGCAGAGAGGTGAAAAAATATATGGAAGCTCTCCAGCAAACCTGCAGTCCCCAAAACTTATTACCCTGGTAATATTAACAGATATTAGAATAAACAGACAGGAAGTTTTGTTGTGTGTTCAATCCTTCAAGCGAGATTAAATCCTTGCTAATTTTGGTAAGCATAAATATTTGGAGTGATGAGACATTAAGAACATTGTAAACTAAGCATAGATTTATGTCACTTTAAAATTCCAGGTGACTATTTATAGATGAACACAACTCACACTAGTAACCTTGCTGAATTGGGTTTAAGTCAAAAGCTACAATATATTTTGTTACGTTAAGAAGTATCAACTAAGTCAATGAATACACACTCCATATGCTTGAAAGTTTCCAATATCCACTTTTTAAAGCCAAATTTTTTAAATTGCATTTTAAATATATTTTAAAATATGTTTTATATCCAAGTTTAAAATCAACCTTCAAATAAAATATCCCATTTCATTAGTTCCCAGTTAGCAATAGTGCTTTTAGGCAAGTAAACACAGAAAACACAGCCTCTGGGACTTATGTTTTAAATACAAACACAAACATTGGGTCAATAAGTTTATCTCACAGCATTTCACCTCAATTTACCTATGAGACACCTTTGTCTGCTATTCCCATTTCAGTTGTTGATCTGGTGATGCATATGTTTCTAGGTTCTGGACTTTAATTAAGGCTCTCTGACAAGGTCTACTTTTCCTCCAAGAAAATCTATAACATAGATTTAGTAAAAGTTAGAAAACAACTCTGAATTGATTCTACTGGCCCCTATCAAATGCTCAGCTGAGACTGTTGTCATCTGAGTAACTCAAGCCAATAGAATGTTTTCCTGAATGCGCTCCTCAGGATATTAACAGACTTGGCTCAAACGAGAGGCCCCCAAGATCAAGAAGTTCATTAATGCTAGTACTGTACAAGGTCATATAGTATTCTATGTTACAGTATTTCTGAGCATACCATTAACTGCTTATATACATTGTGAATCCCTAAAAGGAACACATAGCATTTCCAAAATGTAAACACACCCTTATAGGGCTTTTTCAAGACATCTCAAAAGATGATCTCTAGAATATATATGAGAATGAATTATACTTCTCTTTTCTCTAAGTAATTTTACTATATATCTAGTTATATTACCAAGTATTTGTAAACTTAAACCTTTAAAAAGCTTTAGCTGAGTTGCAGTTAACCCCCATACCACAAATTTTACTATTAACTTTCAATAGCAAAAATTGGTTTTGTAACATTAGCAAAAACCACCTGTCAAGTGTTAGGATTTTAAGGAAATAAAAAAACTATGTGATTAATACCTCATAGAAACTAATGTAGAAAAAAAGCTTGTATTTCGTGAAAAAAGTGAGTTACTTTCCTGTTTGCCTTGGCTGCAGGAGGCTTAGCATTTAATTTAATGCTCAACTCTAGTTATCATCTGTGCTAGACCCTTGATACAGTCTCTTCCCCTTACTCTAAAGGATTTTTTATTTCATATTTTAATTCTCAAGTCCTTTAGTATATAGATTTCTGTTATATATTACCTTAAGAACTTATTTTAAAGTAGGTAAAGCTACTTGCCACTCAGCCCAAAGCTGCTTTCTCCAAAATAGTCATGCCCTCTCTAGAAATAGCACTTATGTCAGTGTAAATCATTGTGCCTTCAGGTGTCAGAAGATCACTGAACATTCAGTCCCAGACTAAGTTCCACACTTTCTTTCCATTCTAGCAGTAAATGTTCACGTGTGGGTATTCTGGATATATATGGACCATGTAGAACAAATTTTTCCTAGCCAATTAAAAGAAAATGTTCATATAGCAAATGTAAAAATGAAGATCACTTTTTCTTTCCTCATGGTTAAACATAGATCATATTGTCTGATAAAAGTTTTACTGGAGTATGAAGAATATGACAACATGCAATCATTTCTTTGAGAAAAATACACTATTTGAAAATAGGAAAAGGTATAACTCCGGAGAAAGTAATTTAATTTTTCTATGAAAAGATTTTAAAAAGTTAGCATGCTATAAATGGGAGAGGAAAAAGGAATAATTACTTTGACCACCAAATCAGAAGCCAGCGCTTCCTTTGCCCCTTGGATTTGGGCACCTGCCGCTCTATAGTGATCATCTGAGAACTTGGAAGCTTCGCCCGCACCAGATTCCACGACAACATTAAAACCCTGCTTGACCAAGGTCTGAACGCCAGCAGGAGACAATGCCACTCGCTTTTCATTTTGGAATATCTCTTTGGGGACTCCAACAGTCAGTTGCTTATATGGAATTCCTACAAACAAGCAAAGGGAAAAAAAAATACATTTGGTAAAAAACAAACAAAAAATGTTTAAAAACAGTTTTCAGAAAACTGAAAGGGGCAATCTTTTCTTCAAAATACACCACACAGGCAACCTGCTGTTCAGAATGATGTTTCTGATTCATACTTATAATTCTTTGACTTTTTTGATAGAGGATAAGAAACTTTTATGCCTAGTCTTCTGAAACTTCTGAATATTTTATTTCAGAGGAATAAACATTCCTCTGAAATATAACAAACTTAGCTGATTTCCTCAAGGAATATAACAAACTTAGCTGATTTGTAGGCAGAAAAAAGTGGGTTTAGAGATCCCTCCACATGCTGATTCCACTCTTTAAACTAAGCCCCTCTGGTTATGGTCTCCTTGTCCTTACTTTTAACAAAAATGGAAGTAACTAGCTATTTTGAAGAACAACTGTATCCTAGACATTTTGATGGCCTGCCACACTCAAAGTTCCCTTCCAGGCAATTTGGCCACAGACAATGCCTCACAAATTTCTAAGTGTTGTATTTTAAGATTTTACACACTCAGCCACTTAGACGAGGGATCAGCAACTGTGTCAAGAACAATCATCTACAGGGCAGATGAGGAAAACTAGCAGCTGCACCTTATGAGATGACTTAGACAGGAACTCTGTCCAAAGACACTATATGTTGGCCAGTGACTACTCAACCCACTGGGTTCTCTCTCAAGGAGTTTGAATGGGAGACCCAGAGAAAGGGACAAGGAGAGTAGATCAGTGCAAATGTTATTTGTAAGCACAGCTACGAGGTAATCAAAGGGAGGTCAGCAGTAACAGTGGCAGAAACATCAGTAGTAGATATTTAAGGAGAGAAGATGGGTCACAGCCATGAATTCCACAAATAACATTCCGCTTATCCAAGGAGTAGATGGGGGGTTTCTGGGCCCTCACACTTGCCAAGAATCCACATAGCAAACCCTCATCACAAAATATAATTTGATGTGATTCCGTTTCTTGCAACCCAAGAAAGCCTATGTAGTACAATCTTATATTTAGATATGGTTCAGACCATCTTTAGCTATAGGATATCAGTTTCTCCTGATGTTTTACTTAATATGCAGCATAAACATTTTTTAATGAAGAGTATCTGTTTCTATCTAAGGTTTATTAAAGCTTAGGAAACCCATTCTTGCAACCTAAGATCTGAATATGTACAATTTCAAAATGATTGAAATTATCCCTACAGAGTAACTTATTAAGACCTTAGAGAAATTAAGTCAACCTAGACCTGAATTTGAACACTGTCTTAGATTCCACACTACCTATACAGTAATAATTTACAGTACACAAAAGGCAAATAATGCTGAATCCTACTCCTTACTTGAAGGAGAGGGAGGAAAATAATAGAAAGCTGGCAAATATTTGGATTGACATACAAAGCTCAATCACATACACTTATCTCAAGTTCACTTATCTGACAACTTCAAATTGGCAGGCTCTACATGGCAAAAGCAAGGAAGCTACCAAAGATGACTGAAGCCATGTCAAAAGGATTTAGAAGCCAATGTGAAAGGGCTTCCACTGACCAAATAAGAGATCATTTGAGCACATACAAGGGACAGAGAAACTGGCTAAACAATACCAAGATAATTCAATCAGCCAAACCTAGAATGTTGTAAATTCTACACAGCAACAATGAAATTCTTCAGTATATTAAAAGGAAAAAAGAAGAGAGGAACTTATAGACAAAAGAGACATATCAAATGTGTGTGGACCCTGTTTGGATCACTCTTTGAACAAGCCAACTGTAAAGAAAAAGAGGAAGGAAGGAAGGAAGGAAGGAAGGAAGGAGCAATTGAAAAAATATGAATACTGACTATAGATGGAATTACTTACTACACTTTTCGGTATGGTAATGAACTTATGGTTATATTAAGAAAAAAATAGACTCCTTATCTTTCAGAGATAAAAATAATTGGGAAATAGTGAGGAACCAGAAATTAAACAAAAGTGTCTTATACATAATCAATACAGAGATCCTGATGTCCATGGATTTACTCACAAGGACAGTATTCATGTCTTCAACACAGTTATTTACCTTTATTTTATACACAATTTTATCACACAGGATAATCTGGCTTTCCAGAGCAGTTTAAAAGAAAGCATCTGAAGATAAAGTTGGAGGCTTATAGGGACAGATACCCTGCCAATTGTGACTTGTCATCTGAGAACAAGAAAAGAGGCTATAAAATCTATTCAAGGCAGACATAAGATCTCAAAACACCTAGCAGTTTAGGGGTCCTTAATGAATAACAAACGGTCCTACAAACTTAAAAAACAAAAGAGGGCATTATTCTATGTGACAAAGGTTGCCCCCCAAATATCCATCCTGTTCCTCCACCTTAATAAGAAAATGCCATTTTTAGCTGGGTACACTGCCATCTAGAATAAAAGACAAAATGTCCAAGTCTCCCTTACAGCTATAAACAGCTACACGTCTGAGTTCTGGACAGTGAAGTGAAGTGACAGAAGTACTGGGATGGTCTTTGGGCAAGACTGATGAAAAAGAGTTGACTTGGTTTAGAAGGGCCCCTTTTAGCCTCTCCTCCTTCTGGCCTGTACCCCAGAACAGAAGCAAGTAGACATCCTATCAGGGAAGGCCTTGTAGGCCACTGGAAGACTTCAGATCTTCCTCTGTAAGAGTTAGGAAGCAAGTGGCAAATTTTGAGTTAAGGAGTGACCTGACTGTACATTTTTAAAAGATTATTCTCACTGTCCTGTGCAGAACAGACTGTAGGGGGCAGAGGTAAAAAGCAGACCGTGTAGAAGACTGGTGCATCAGTACAGGTGACAGATGATGATGGCTTGGACCAAGATGATAAAAGTAGCAATGGCAAGAAGAGGACAGATTGTAGATATGAGATAGAGCTGACCCATACCTACTAGGAGAATGTAGAATGACTCCAGGGTTTCTGACCTGAGCAACTGCAATCAAATTGCTACTTACTAAATTGGAAAGCATTAATGTAGACCAATTAACATACTTAATTCCTAATTCCTGAGCAAAGTTGACCTGTATATGGTACAATTCTCAAATACCAACAAGGAATTAGAAAGGGCTTCTAGGAGAAATGGTTACTATAAGCAATAGGCTCCAGGGACAAGTCAACTGGTTTATCCTTTTCGTTTGTTTTTTCTATTACCTTCTCTTCTGTGTTAGCGCTGGAAATCAGGAACGTCTATAGTATATGGAAAACACAAGATAGCACTTACTTATTTTTTGTTTAAAATGATCACTCACAAGCACCAGGCCATAAAATTACATGGCTTTGGCTGGATGCGGTGGCCCACGCCTGTAATCGCAGCACTTTGGGAGGCCAAGACGGGCGGATCACGAGGTCAGGAGATCGAGACCATCTTGGCTAACATGGTGAAACCCCATCTCTACTAAAAATACAAAAAATTAGCCGGGTGTGGTGGCGGGCACCTGTAGTCCCAGCCACTTGGGAGAGTGAGGCAGGAGAATGATGTGAACCTGGGAAGTGGAGTTTGCAGTGAGCCGAGATCGCGCCACTGCACTCCAGCCTGGGAGACAGAGCGAAACTCTGTCTCAGAAAAAAAAACAAAAAACAAAAAACACTACATGGCTTTTCCTTTTATCGATCATCAGATCTATTAGTTCCTATGACTTGAAGGTTTCATTTACAATCACTGAAGTGAGACTTTACCTGGTTTTACAGGCGCTTTACACCACAGTTCTTGGTGAGTATGAAATGTTCGTAAAAAATCCTTCTTCACATGTAGACCCTTACAGGACCCCAAATTGCTAAGTAAAGGACACGAGCAGCCAGTCACCAGTGTTTTCAGTAGGCTTGCCATGCTGATATGAGTTCCCAATTTTCTGACTCCCCAGTTTCCTTCAAGGCAAATCACTAAGAAAAAAGAAAATAGGATGTTTATATGCCAAGAAAAACACTATCTGTCTTTTAAACATGAAAAACATTTTAAAAATACTAATCTAAAGAGTTTGAAATATAACAGTTGTATGTAGACATGTACAAAGAATTTTATTTGCCAAGTTTGTTATTTACAGAAGATGCTCAAAATTCGTTTTCCAGTTCAGGCATTTAAAACTTGGAATCCATTTTCCCACTAAAATTGGAGTTCTAAACTCACTATTCAATTCCAAACCTAGGTCATATAATCTATTTGATCCTTAATGTAGCTGGAAAGCTTAAATACACACACATATTGCTACAGAATCAAGTCATATTTTACATGAAAGTTATCTTCTAATTCAGCATGTCCAGCAAAAAGTGCATGTACTTCAGTTACCTTTGAATTTCCCTTAAATTACCTAAAATACTGTACAGCACAATGGTGACTTATATTTAGCCACCAGGTCATACCGAATACTCTGACATCCTATTCAGTGCAGCAGGATGCTTATCCACTGAGACCTCTGAACTGAGGCTGACTGAGTGAGTGAACACAAGATTCATGTTTGCCAAGTGTACCTCTCAAGAAAATTAAACACGCATGACATATGACTCTAAGAAAAGAAGAAAGAAAGAAAAATTCCATAGTATCTTTATCAAATAGGTTTGTGCTTGCAGATGTGGCCGTAACTATGAACACTTTTGTCAGTGGTTCTCACAAATGGCCACTTTTTGCCAGTTCTAACCAGGCTGGGTGAAGTGTCACTGGATTTTGTTGTTACTAAGGCTTCAGGAACTACCTCCACCTCCACCACATTCCTCAGTAGATCCCCAGGGATGCATGAAAGGCACTCCCGCTGTCCCCATAATTCCCAACGGTCCTCCATACCTTTCTCTTCTTTCTTTCAAGAATGGAAAGAAGCCAGGCACCGTGGCTTATGCCTGTAATCCCAGCACTTTGAGAGGCCAAGGTGGGCAGATCACGAGGTCAGGAGTTCAAGACCAGCCTGACCAACATGGTGAAACCCCGTTTCTTCTAAAAATACAAAAATTAGCCAGCCCTAGTGGCTGGCACCTGTAATCCTGGCTACTCGGGAGGCTGAGGCAGGAGAATCGGTTGAACCCAGGAGGTAGAGGTTGCAGCGAGCCGAGATTGCGCCACTGCACTCCAGCCTGGGTGACAGAGCGAGACTCCGTCTCAAAAAAAAAACAAAAAGGTAAACCAAATAAAATGGCCCTGAAAGATAGAGAATTCAGCTAATTCTGCTAACTCTGCCTGTAAGTTCTGCTGCATCATGTGGACCCTCACGGGACTGAGCACCTGATCCTAGTAGGCTCCGTAAACCTTCTTCCAGACTCCAGAGGGAGAAAGACTTAGCTTATTTTTAATTTCAGAACTGCTGCCACTGGCCAGGCATGGTGGCTCATGCCTGTAATCTTAGCACTTTGAGAGGTGTTGGCAGGTGGATTGCCTGAGCTCAGCAGTTCAAGACCAGCCTGGTCAACATGGCAAAACCTCATCTCTACTAAAAATACAAAGAATTAGCCGGGCATTGTAACGCGCATCCATCCATGTGAAGAGACCACCAAACAGGCTTTGGGTGAGCAAAAAGGTTGTTTATTTTCACTTGGGTACAAGTGGGCTGAGTCCAAAAAGAGAGTCAACAAAGGGAGACAGGGGTGAGGCAGTTTTATAGAATTTGGGTAGGTGGTGGAAAGTTACAGTTAAAGGAGGTTTTCTCTTGTAGGCAGTGGTGGGGGTCACAAGGTGCTCACTGGAGAGCTCCTGAGACTCATTGCCCAGGAGAAGGAATGTCACAAGGTCAATTGATCAGTTAGGGTGGGGCACAGCTACTCACGAGGCTGAGGCACGAGAATCACTTGAACTTGCGAGGCAAAGGTTACAGTGAGCCGAGAACATGCCACTACACTCCAGCCTGCCAGCCTGGGCAACAGAGCAAGACTCTGTCTCAAAAGAAAAAAAAAAAAAAAAAAAAAAACCTGCCGCCACAACTCCCTGAAGAAACATCTTTAAAGTACCAGAAAGCATCATTGGTAATGGACATTTTTAATCCAGAGAGCATTTATTCATAAGATGCCCCTTAATTCAACAAATATATACCAAGGACAGAGTTTTGCCATTAAGTGGCAAATTTTTAGTTAAGGAGTGACCTGACTGTACATCTGACAACTTCAAATTGGCAGGCTCTACATGGCAAAAGCAAGGAAGCTACCAAAGATGACTGAAGCCATGTCAAAAGGATTTAGAAGCCAATGGATTGCCTTTGTCGTGGTACTTTAAAGATGTTTCTTCAGAGGGTACGTGCTGTAGCGGAGGGTTTTTTGTTTTTTCTTTTTGCGCTTTCTTTGAGGACAGGGAGGTCTTGCTCTTGTTGCCCCAGGGCTGCGGCTGGTAGCTTGTAGCTCTGGCATGGTTCGTCTGGCTCACGGCTGGTAACCTTATGCCTCGCAAGGTTCAGAGTTGGCAATTCTCGTGGTGCCTTTCAGCCTCGTGAGGTAGCTGTTGCCCCACCCTAACTGATCAATTTGACCTGGGCTGGATGGACCATTTCTTTTCTCCTGGGGCAATGAGTCTCAGGAGGCTCG